TAACCTAGTGAGGAGGGCTCTAAACTAGGTTCACCGGGGGAAGGAGACCAAAGCCCTGAGGTAAGTGGGGACACGTGGGATACCGGGAGGAAGCACAAGCAGGAGTGCGCGAGAGGGCAGGGGTCCTGCCTCATTCTGAGAAAGAGGGACAATCAGCGAGTTATCTCAAGTGCCTATACACAAATGCAAGAAGCCTGGGAAACAAGCAGGGAGAACTGGAAGTCCTGGCACAGTCAAGGAATTATGATGTGATTGGAATAACAGAGACTTGGTGGGATAACTCACATGACTGGAGTACTGTCATGGATGGATATAAACTGTTCAGGAACGACAGGCAGGGCAGAAAAGGTGGGGGAGTTGCACTGTATGTAAGGGAGCAGTATGACTGCTCAGAGCTCAAGTATGAAACTGCAGAAAAACCTGAAAAGGAGTACTTGTGGCACCTTAGAAACTAACCAATTTATTTGAGCATAAGCTTTCGTGAGCTACAGCTCACTTCATCGGATGCATCCGATAGCAAGCTTTTGACACGGTCTCCCACAGTATTCTTGTCAGCAAGTTAAAGTATGGGCTGGATGAATGGACTATAAGGTGTATAGAAAGCTGGCTAGATTGTCGGGCTCAACGGGTAGTGATCAATGGCTCCATGTCTAGTTGGCAGCCGGTATCAAGTGGAGTGCCCCAAGGGTCAGTCGTGGGGCCGGTTTTGTTCAATATCTTCATAAATGATCTGGAGGATGGTGTGGATTGCACCCTCAGCAAGTTTGCAGATGACACTAAATGGGAGGAGAGGTAGATATGCTGGAGGGTAGGGATAGGATACAGAGGGACCTAGACAAATTGGAGGATTGGGCCAAAAGAGATCTGATGAGGTTCAACAAGAACAAGTGCAGAGTCCTGCACTTAGGACGGAAGAATTCCATGCACCGCTACAGACTAGGGACCGAATGGCTCGGCAGCAGTTCTGCAGAAAAAGACCTAGGGGTTACAATGGACGTGAAGCTGGATATGAGCCAACAATGTGCCCTTGTTGCCAAGAAGGCCAATGGCATTTTGGGATGTATATGTAGGGGCATTGTCAGCAGATAGAGGGACGTGATCATTCCCCTCTATTCGACATTGGTGAGGCCTCATCTGGAGTACTGTGTCCAGTTTTGGGCCCCACACTACAAGAAGGATGTGGAAAAATTGGAAAGAGTCCAGCAGAGGGCAACAAAAATGATTAGGGGACTGGAACACATGACTTATGAGGAGAGGCTGAGGGAACTGGGATTGTTTAGTCTGCAGAAGAGAAGAATGAGGGGCAATTTGGTAGCTGCTTTCAACTACCTAAAAGGGGGTTCCAAAGAGGATGGATCTAGACTGTTCTCAGTGATTGCTGATGACAGAACAAGGAGTACTGGTCTCAAGTTGCAGTGGGGGAGGTTTAGATTGGATATTAGGAAAAACTTTTTCACTAGGAGGGTGGTGAAACACTGGAATGCGTTACCTAGGGAGGTGGTGGAATCTCCTTCCTTAGAAGTTTTTAAGATCAGGCTTGACAAAGCCCTGGTTGGGATGATTTAGTTGGGGATTGGTCCTGCTTTGAGCAGGGGGTTGGACTAGATGACCTCCTGAGGTCCCTTCAACCCTGATATTCTATGATTCTATGATCCCTCACTCTCACAGATCTTGGGAGACAGACCAGTCCTCATGTATAGACAGCCCCCCAACCTTAAGCAAATACTCTCCAGCAACCACACACCACACAACAAAAACACTAACCCAGGAACCTATCCTTGCAACAAAGCCTGATGCCAACTCTGTCCACATATTTATTCAAGTGACACCATCATGGGACCTAATCACATTAGCCACGCCATCAGGGGCTTGTTCACCTGCACATGTACCAATGTGATATATGCCATCATGTGCAAGCAATGCCCCTCTGCCATGCACATTGGCCAAACCAGACAGTCTCTACGCAAAAGAATAAATAGACACATATCTGACATCAGGAATCATAACATTCGAAAACCGGTAGGAGAACACTTCAACCTCTCTGGCCACTCAGTAAAAGATTTAAGGGAGGCAATTTTGCAACCAAAAAGCTTCAAAAACAGACTCCAACGAGAAACTGCTGAGCTTGAATTAATATGCAAACTAGATACCATTAACTTGGGTTTGAATAGAGACTGGGAGTGGCTGGGTCATTACACATATTCAATCTATTTCCCTATGTTAAGTATCCTCACACCTTCTTGTTGACTGTCTAAATGGCCCATCTTCATTATCACTACAAAAGTTTTTTTTCTCCTGCTGATAATAGCTCATCTTAATTAATTAGCCTCTTACAGTTTGTATGGCAACTTCCACTTTCTCTGTATGTATATATAAATGTATCTTCTTACTATATGTTCCATTCTATGCATCCGATGAAGTGGGCTTTCGCCCACAAAACCTTGTGCTCTAATAAACTTGTTAATCTCTAAGGTGCCACAAGTACTCCTGTTCTTTTGCAGATACATACTAACATGGCTGCTACTCTGAAACCATTTCAGACAGTTGACAAGAAGGTGTGAGTAACAGTAGGGAGAAATTAGTATTGGGGAAATTAGGTTTAGGTTTTGTAATGATCCAACCATTCCCAGTCTTTACTCAGGCCTAATCTGATGGTGTCCAGTTTGCAAATTAATTCCAATTCTGCAGTTTCAGGTTGGAGTCTGTTTTTGAAGTGGTTTTTTTTGTTGAAGAATTGCCACTCCTCTGAAACCACTTTTAGGACTGTAATTGAGTGTCCAGGGAGGCTGAAGTGTTCTCCGACTGGTTTTTGAATGTTATAATTCTTGATGTCTGATTTGTGTCCATTTATTCTTTTGCGTAGAGACTGTCCGGTTTGGCCAATGTACATGGCAGAGGGGCATTGCTGGCATATGATGGCATATATCACATTGGTAGATGTGCAGGTGAACGAGCCTCTGATGGTCTGGCTGATGTGGTTAGATCCTATGATGGTGTACCTTGAATAAATATGTGGATAGAGTTGGCACCAGGGTTTGGTTCCTGGGTTGGTGTTTTTGTTGTGTGGTTTGTAGTTGCTGGCGAGTATTTGCTTCATGTTGGGGGGCTGTCTGTAAGCGAGGACTGGCCTGTCCCCCAGGGTCTATGAGAGTGTGGGATCGTCCTTCAGGATAGGTTGTAGATCCTTGATGATGCACTGGAGAGGTTTTAGTTGGGGGCTGTAGGTAACGGCTGGTGGCATTCTGTTACTTTCTTTGTTGGGCCTGTCTTGTAGTAGGTGACTTCTGGGTACCCTTCTGGCTCTGTCAATCTGTTTCTTCACTTCAGCAGGTGGGTATTGTAGTTTTAAGAATGCTTGATAGAGATCCTGTAGGTGTTTGTCTCTGTCTGAGGAATTGGAGCAAATGCGGTTGTATCGTAGAGCTTGGCTGTAGACAGTGGATCGTGTGATGTGGTCTGGATGAAACTGGACGCATGTAGGTAAGTATAGTGGTCAGTAGGTTTCCGGTATAGGGTGGTGTTTATATGACCATCACTTATTAGCACTGTAGTGTCTAGGAAGCGGACCTCTTGTGTGGACTGGTCCAGGCTGAGGTTGATGGTGAGGTGGAAATTGTTGAAATCTTAGTGGAATTCCTCAAGGGTCTCCTTCCCATGGGTCCAGATGATGAAGATGTCATCAATGTGGAGCAAGTACAGTAGGGGTGTAAGGGGATGAGAGCTGAGGAAGTGTTCTAAGTCAGCCATAAAAATGTTGGCGTACTGTGGGGCCATGTGGGTACCCATTGCAGTCCTAAAAGAGTCCTAAGCAGTAATCCTAAAAGAGATCTAGGGGTGATAGCAGATCTAGCCCACTTTACAGCTAGGAGTTGCAACTATCTGCTCCTACCCCTTGGCCAAAGCCATACTGTCAGGTGGTGGCGTGAAGAGGAAGAACATCCTTAGATAAGGATCAGCGGGAGAATAGACCCACCATGGAGGGAGAGGCCCAGCAAGAAAGCAGCCAGGGAGGCCACCTGGAGTTAAGTACATTAAAAATAGTTTCCTGTATCTTTACATCTTCTTCCTGCTGTGAGAGTGGCTGGCCCAGAATGAGATTGGGCCGGCCCTTCCTGGATCAATGAGAGGCTCAGAATTTAGCAGAGAGCAGCAGAGTTGGGGAGAGGAGCTCTGTGCTCAGTAGATGGCCCTGACACCAGACTGGGCCTGCAGGATTTCTTAGAATTGACCTTGTCAATCAGGATCGGATCACTCCTTACCACTGTGTGTGTTGGGTGTTATGCATGTCTCCTTTGGTTTAGCTTTATGCAAAGGCCTGTGGTCACACTGCTCACCACAGGGCAGTATGGCCAACCCTGAGCAGCACAAATCACAGTCAAGCCCAAGAAGGAGTGTGGGGAGAAGTGGAAGGCGATTTGAGGAAAGGTTCAAAGAGCTAAACTAAGGAGGAGAGCTCCTGATACAAATATGGGTAGGCTGTAAACATCATGATTTGTGTCATTCCCAGAGAGCTGTGGCTATATGTCCTGAGATGAAGTGAAGACAGAGGGAAGTCAGGGTGGCCTCTTTCAAATGTGGCAGCCACCAGGACAATACATTAAACAGCCTGAAAAAGGAGGGGAGTCAGTGGGAGCAATTGAACTAAAGTGATATTTCATTGTAAGAGATTCCAAAGCCATTGTGATCATCCAGTCTGCTCCACTGGGTACTGTCTTGTCAAGAGGAGATTGCTGGCTTGGCAGTTTTTAAAATGGTTTGAAAGGTTCTTATGGAGGAAACGGTCAGCTATAGAAGGCAGCACTTGCGTAGTTGTTGCAGTCTGATGCTTTGCTAGCAACGTAGAGCTTGGGAGTAGCAGCAGCAGGTCCCTGTCACCAGGGCTACGTGCACTTTGCCTGGCTTTCTTATTATAAAGGTATTCTAGGGTATGCCAATGTGGCCTCAGGATTTCTAATGTTAAATTCATGTCTGTCTCCCCATCTGCCCCCGCCCCTCCACAGAAACTTCTGGATGAGTGCCAGGACCAGCGCTGGTGTCAGTTCTCTGTGCATAGCCCAGTGTTTGGGCCAGACCCGTGTCCCGGGACACGCAAGTACCTAATAGTTTCATACAAGTGCAGACCAGGTGAGTTCTGCAAATGGCTTTAAAGTGCAAAGGAGGGTGTCATTTAGCATCCTCTCTGGTTTTTCCATAGACTATTGGTGCAGTCAGCACTATAAGTGTACCAGAGGCAAAAAGGGGATTCATTGTCTTTGTCGAGCCATTGTCAATTAACCCCACCTGTCTCTTGGACAGATCATCCTACTCCTGGAGAGAGAAGGAGATTATAATTTTTTTTCTTGCCTTGCAGTAGCATTCCAAGGCCATTCCATCCAGATCAGGCCCTATTGGACAATGTGCTGTGAAATCACACAGGAAGACAATGATCTCCATTAAGGAGCCTAAACTGTGCCATGTGATTTAGGTGACACAGATAAATAGTCAAAGCAAACAGTTTGCAAAAATCCCATAGGATGAAAAATATCTGCCAAATCGTTTAAGCAAATGCTAACAAATAGCTAGTACATTCACCAGATGCCGAGACGACAGCAAAGGGAATTGCTCAGTCTCTTAGTTTCTTCTTGTTAGGTGTTTTATATATTGATTGGGAAGGGATGCTTTTAGGCAAATGGGAGGAGTTCAGAGCTGCCACTTCAGAGAGGACCGCATAAAATTTGCTCTCTGACTTTTGGAATAGTAAAGGCCTACTGTTAATGCTGCAACAGAATATTGTGTAATGTTGTTTCCCAGCTAACCACCGCATTAAGACCGTATGTGAGAATGACAAGCTGAGGCTGCAGTGCAGGGCTAAATCCATCCTAGCAATTTACTCTGCAAGCTATGGCAGATCCATGAGGGGCAAACCAGAGTGCAACTCTGCAAACAGGACTGGACCCAATGTAGGTATGTTGGGAAGGTGTGAACTAGAAATCTGACTGGGCCCCTTTCACATTGAAGAATCTGGAACTCATTACCAGGGGATGTTGTGGAGGCCAAAAGTGTAATTGGGTTAAAAAAAGAAGTAGATAAGTTCCTGGAGAATAGGTCCATCAATGGCTATTAGCCAAGATGGTCAGGGATGCAACCCCATGTTCTGGGTATCCCTAGCCTCTGATTGACAGAAGCTGGGCATGGACAGAGAATGGATTACTCGGTAACTACCCTGTTCAGTTCACTCCCTTTGAAGCACATGGCACTGTCCACTGTTGGAAGACAGGACACTGGGCTGGATGGACCATTGTTCTGACCCAGTGTGGCCGCTCTTATGTTCTTAATAAGTAATTACGCTGTCAGAGACGTTACATTGGGCACAGCTGTATCACTGCTGTGTGGGCATCGAGACATGCACGTTCCCAGCCTATTGCTGGGGATAGGTGACTGTTGGGCGCTGGGATACGCAGTCTCTCAGCCAGCTCACTGCCATATGGGCTGAGGATGTATGCATATAATCAGCTGCATGGACACAATACATGCACCCTTCCTTCACAGCTAACTCCGTGCTCAGTGGGCAGGGAGGCATGCGCTCCTGACAAGGTCACCACTATGGGCTCATTCATGTACACTCCTACGTGGTGCATTTGAATGGGATATTACAGACCAAGTCTGGCTTTGGGTTACATGGTTTCCAGAAGCAATTTCTAAGCTTTTCTGCCTGCTGCTGGGAATGCAGGTGCCACAGCCTGGTGACCACCTGGTCTATATTTTCAGAGTGCTTAGCTCCTGATGCCTTGAGGAGAGTCTCTCGGAAGTGTCACAGGAAGGAGAACTGTACCATCTCGGCTAACAAGGCCACCTTTGGTGACCCCTGCTTCCCTGGCGTGAAGAAACAGCTGAGGGTCTCCTATACATGTGGTAAGAGTCCCAGGTCACCCTGACACTGCACTGGGGAGGGGCTGGAAGGACTCCAGCAAGTGCTTTACGATGTACAACACAGATCCCAGAGAGCAGGGGCATCTTGAGGACTAAGGGCACCCGTTGGCCTAGCAAGCCGCTAGCGTAGCTGTTGAGGCTGCTGGGCAGGATCAGTTTAGATGAGAGTGGTGTCATGTCTCCTGCCTTGAGAGATGCTTGTGCATTCTGTCAGCAGCAGGCTGAGAACTATAGAAATGGCCACAAAGCCAAGCCCCTGAGAAACAGGGCAGATGCTGAGCAGCTGTTGCTCTGTCTTCTCCTCTTGGGGCATGGATCTTTAACCATGTGCATGCAGGTGCGGAGTGGGGAGATGGGAAGCTTCAGGGTGCACAGATACAGACAGAAAGTGAATCCTCAAATCTCCCCATTAGAGGAAATATTTTTGTCTTTCTTTGTAAGTAGCAAACTGTAAGGATCTAAGGGCTCATGAAAGCAAGATTAATATCCAACCAGCCAGGGCATGGGCAGGTTCTGTGCAAGCTGCCTCTGACCCCATGGCTGTACCACATGCCAGCCTCCTGACCTGCAGCACCCCCTGGGACCTTTGTACAACTCTACCAATGTGCCTCTGTCCTGCCAGTAGCCCCCCTGCTATTTCAGCCCGGGGTCTGCTCTCTGCCCACTACAGACGAGGATGACACGTGACTCACTGAACTCATGTCTTTGGTGGTCAAGGCCAAGGACATTATTTACCCAACCTGGCCCTCCCTCCTTGACCCACAGAATTCCCCCGGTCAGACTGAGGCTGGCTCCTGTGCTGTCTCCTTGCCCACTGCTTTGACATAGGGAAATATTTTGTATGTACATTTCTGGCAGTGGTGGTTGGTCCTGATCTGTCAATACACCCCTCACCTGAGGTACCTGTGCAGCCCTCATGTCTCCTCTCCATCCCTGGCTGCTACCCCCATCCCAGGGGTTCTACATGAGCTGCCCTTTCAGTGCAGTCTCCTTTCTCATTACAGTGCCAAGGCAGCTGCTCGAGGAGGTGGGCCAGGATTCCCCAGACCCCTTCTCGCTCTCCGACTACACACATGGTAAACACTTGCTGTTCCCCTGGGGCTGTGCTGTATGGGCTAAGAAAGGCTCTTGTTTGAGTGTCCGGTTGGGGTTTCCTAGCTGGCTGGGGACTGCATGTATGTGATGTGCCAGGCTGGCTCCTCTCACACAGGCTGTGCGCAAGAAGGTTTGCCCAAAATCTGGCTCCTGCATCGCAGTGAAGGGGGAAGTCCCTGAGCCAGGCACTTCTACCCTCCATGAGGAATGCAGACTGAGCCCAGAGAAAGGGAAGCAGAAATCTAAATCAGGGCCTTTTCCCTTCATGGATCAGGCTGATGGTCACAGGGGTCACAGAGATCCAGTTCATCTGCCTATCCTAGATGTGCAACAGAAGGAGGGCTCTATTCCTTTATTTAGGCACACAGCCTCTGTGTCTCCTGGGTGTGGGAAATTACTTTGAGCACCCCGGCCTGGTTATGCAGGCAGTTCAGTGCAGTGCTGTTCACTAGGATGTCTCATTCAGTCTTTTATTTCTTAATGCTGTTCCATCAATGCTCTTGCTAGACCCCGCTCTGCCCTGTAGCAGCCCCTCTCCACTGGGAATTCATTCACCGGGTGTGACTGGTTGGATCACAGAAACCCCCTTGGGGCTGCCACCTGATGTGCCAAGACTACTTCTGCCCCTGCCTTTCTTGCCAGCTTGGGACTCCAGAACCCTGCCTGGCTGTATCAGACACACTTGCCAGCCACAAACACAGACCCAGGTCTGAACCACATCCTACAAACGCAAGCTTAACTGAGAGCAGCTTACAGAAGAGTGCCTGTCTTTAACACTCAGATGCCCAACTCCCAATGGGGTCCAAACCCCAAATAAATCCTTTTTACCCTGTATAAGCTTTAAAAAAAATCCGATGAAGTGAGCTGTAGCTCACGAAAGCTTATGCTCAAATAAATTGGTTAGTCTCTAAGGTGCCACAAGTACTCCTTTTCTGTTTGCCCTCTATAACTCTGAGAGAGAGAGATGCACAGCCGTTTCCCTCCCCCCCGCCCCCCAAGGTATTAATACATACTCTGGGTTAACTAATAAGTAAAAAGTGATTTTATTAAATAGAGAAAGTAGGTTCCAAGTAGTAACAAACAGAACAAAGTGAATTACCCAGCAAAATAAAATAAAACACACAAGTCTAAGTCTAGTGCAGTAATAAAACTGAATACAGATAAAATCCTCACCCAGTAAGCTTCCTTTTACAGACTCGTCTCCTTCTAGTCTGGGTCCAGCAATCACTCAAACCCCATGCAGTTACTGTCCTTTGTTCCAGTTTCTTTCAGATATCCTTGGGGGTGGAGAGGCTCTCTCTTTAGCCAGCTCAATACAAAATGGAGGGGTCTCCCCGGGGTTTAAATAGACTTTCTCTTGTGGGTGGACACCCCCTCCTCTCTCGTATGCAAAGTCCAGCTCCAAGATGGAGTTTTGGAGTCACCTGGGCAAGTCACATGTCCATGCATTACTCAGTATTTTTTACAGGCAGCCCACATGGTATCTTGAATGTCTCCAGGAAAACTTCTTATGTGGATTGGAGCCTTCCAACATCCATTGTTCATTAAATGCTTCTTGATTGGGCACTTAACTTTGCAAATTCCTTTCTAAAGAAGTTGACCAAATGTCTTACTAAGGTTATTTAAAATCAGCAAGTATACAGCCAATATTCATAACTTTGAATACAAAAATGATACATGCATACAAATAGGATTAATAGATTCAGTAGATCATAACCTCTACAGAGATATGTTACATGGCATATGTAGCATAAAACATATTCCAGTTATGTCATATATACACATTCAAAAGCATATTTCCATAAAGCCTTATGGGGGGCACCGTCACACCGGGTTTGTTCTCTCCTCAGTATCACACACTCTCCCAATGGACCCCAGCTCTTCCTGGGGACTCCACCTTCTCCTTGACTAAGGGCAGGTTTCAGTCCCCATAGTTATCTGGGTGTGGACTAGGATCCCAGCCCAACACTGCAGGATACATTTTGCCAGTGGCAAAAGAGAAGTGGAATTGCTCTGTGAGGCCTGTCTCTTTGGTGTATTTGTAGCACCCTGCACGGTAGCAGTGGCAGTCAGGTTGCACTGGAAGTTCATGCAATGGCAGATGAATTAGAGAAAAGGCAGCTGGTGGAAGGCTAACAAGAACTGGGAAGAGAATTCTTCCCCCTGCACTGCCTCCACACACACTTAGCTTTGTAACATTTTTTCATGAGCAAAACCAAGGTTGCAAAACCAGGAGTGAGATCTAGAGGATGTGGCCAAATGGTTTGGCAATAACATGGGGTCTCTGGAGGGGAGATGACAGATAGATACAGACCAGCCAGGAGAAGTGAGCAGAGTGGCAGATAGGAGAAGCTCTGAGACCCACAGAGGAGGGGTACCACAGAACATAGCAAAGGGGAGCAGACTATGGAAGAGTTAAGGGAAGAACAGATCCAAGGGGCAGAGAAGTGGCTAGGAGCAAAGGAATACTAGGAGGAGCTATAGCAGAAGGTTTAGAACATGGCATGGAGGAGAGAGAGACGGTAGTGGGGGAGCAAAGAGTGGGAACACAGACAATGGAAGGCACTGAGAGTGGACAGGAAGAACTTAGGGATGGGATGGCGAGGATCATGAAAGAGAGACGTGCCGAGTGCCTGGGAGGAGCAAAGCCGAGGAGGGAGGGGTGGGAGTGAAAGTTGGCAGATGTGTGGTGACAGGTGAAGGTTGAAGTCCACAAAGTGGATGAGGGCGTTGAGAAGCGCCTCACCCCTGTACCCTAGCCAGTAAGACCATGTCCCCTTGTTCACTGCAGGTGGCTGGTACCGTGGGCCGAGGCTGTCCAGGCTCCATGAAGATCTGATGATTTTTACTAGCTCTCTGGAAATGTTTGCCCACCTCTGGGGTACGTGAATTCTCTGAGCATGTGCACAGTGCTCTGTGGAGAGGGTGTGGGCAGAGAGTCACATTCCACTCTGTCTCTCTTGCTTTAGTGTGCCGGGAGACATGGACATGTTAGGGGGCACTTGGAGAAGAGCCTGCAGCACTGTGCGTTCCCTTTATGCCCATTAGTGCCCCTCTGGTGTAGGCTGGCCATTGAAGCCACATCCAAAATGCTGCTGCAGGGGTGGAGCAATGTCATGGAGACTCAAGGACTGAATGACCCCAGGGTTGAACTCTCTCTCCCTCAGGCAAGGAGACAGTACTAAGTCTATCTGAGAGAGGACTTTAAAGAATGTGATTCCTGCTGAATTCCTCACTCACTCTGGGAAGAAGCAAAGATGCCAGTCTGGTTGGCCACTTGTTGGAACTCCATGGCCACCCCTTTCCTGGCCCCCTTCCCTTAGGGTGTCTGCACACTGCAACCAGGGGGGCGGCTGCGGCACATGTAGACAGACCCAAGTTGACTTTAATCTAGCTAGTTCCAACAGCAGTAGCAGTGAAGGTGCATCAGCGCGGGCTAGCCACTCAAGTAACATACCCAGGGTCCTGGGTGGAGTTGTACAGCCCATGCTGCTGCCCATGCTGCCGCAACTTCCTTGCTATTGTCACTGGAGCTAGCTAGACCAGAGCTAGCTTGGGTCTGTCTACACGTGCTGCAGTCACACCTCTGACTGCAGTGTAGCCAGACCCGTAGCCTTTTGCAGGATATTGATTTGCATCCGTTTCTGGAGAGAGAGAGAGACAGTGCCTCACAAGGTTTATTGCTCAGACCCCCAAGCTCAGTGTGAGCTGTACCATTTGGCGAACTAGCTCTCCATTCTGGAAAGTTACTAGTGTAAATGAGTTACAAAGTAACTCCTGGAGTTACCAGTCCACTCACTGTTTGCCTTGCCCCCACCCTGCCAGGAGTCAAACCCATTTTTGATTGTGCTAGTCAGAGAAACACAGAATTTATCCTGCTGGAATAAACCAATGCCTTCCAGCCCGGCACCCTGTCTCCTACTGGGACCAGTGACAGATGCTTCCGAGCAAGGTGTAACACCCTATAATGTCTGTCCCTTGTTCATCAGCAACTCTGCCAGCTAACAACTGGAACAGTTTCCTTTATTACTGACAACACCTCTCCTGCCCCTGCTCCTGAGGACATGTTGCCTTCTGCTGGAAAGGAGCTAGTCTCAGCTCCTCTCATACTTGGAAGCACGCTGTTTCCCTGTGTTACAGAGTCACAGGGATCCTCACCCACCTCAATGGTTTCTGAGACTCCCTCCCCCTTCTCTGGACTCCCCTTTGGGACATATTTCCCTATGCTTCCTAGAGTGGGGGCTGTCTCTGGTTCATCTGCAACTTACTGGTAGCTAACTACCTGGACAATTCTCTCCCTGGCAGCCATTACATCCCCATCTTTTCCTAATGTGGTGTTGCCTGTAGCTGCAATGCAGAAGCTGGTCTCAACCACTCTCACACCTGGAAGCATGAGGCTTCCCCCTGCTGCAGAGGAATCCAATTCCCTCAGCAGTTCCTGAGACCTTACCCTTTCCCTTGGGGTCCCAGCATGAAACTCCCTCCTGCTGCAGGCAAATACGTTAACCTGAGCTACATGGAAAAATCATTACCAAGAAGCAGGTCAACTAGGAGGTGTTCCATTACCCCTACAGTCAAAATGCTTTCCAAAACTTCCAACACAACATGGATTTTAGCTAGTGGTACAAGGAATCTGCTTTCGCCCACCCCCACAATCTCTGCCATTTGGCAAGGTAACATACTAGCCTTTGGGACCACACTCTGCTTAACCAGAGAGATCTGGGTCCTGTATCCCTCTGCCCCATGTACTCCCTGCCATTAATTCTGACAACCTTAACGTGCTCCATTCTGGTTCTGCAGAGGCTAATCTCACAAAATCAATACAATAGGGTTCAATTGCTTGTGGGGGGGCTCTGTGTTGAGGACAGCAGAACTAACATGAGCTATTGGTTGCCTGCTTCCTCCTAGCACAGGGCGTTTATTTCTCAGATGATCAGTGGAATTACACTGATAGCATCTTATGGGCTCTTCTGTTTTTACAGGAGGTTTGGGATGAGGGTTAGAGGAATGGTTTTGGGGAGGTGAGTACCCAGCCTCCCTCCCTCTTGATAGGGATAAAATGGGATCTTCCCTTCCCACCAGCTTTAAACACCTCTGTCAGTGCTGTTTTCAATAGATGCCTGCGTCTGTTCAAAGGCATCAGCTAGAGACACCATCTCCATCCACAGACTCACAGCTTTGTCCCATAGACACTGCTTTACATCCGTCTTACATATGCCTAGGAAATGCTCTTGAGCAACAAGATCCAACATTCCCTCAAGGCTTGTAACACCTTTGCTCCTCACCCACTTTCCCATCAAATCTTTCATTTTGTTCACATATTCCCCATTACTCATACCAGTATCCCTCTCAAGATTCCTAAATTTAACTCTGTGTTTCAGAGGTAATCTGAAACCTTTGCAAAACAGTGTTTTTAAATTTACAATAGTCTAAAGCATCCTCAATAGGCATTTCATTGAATACATTCAGAGCTTTACCAGTTAATTTTGCAATCAGGGTAGGAATTCTCTTGGCATCAGGGATCTCATGCACTGCACACAGCCTTTCAAAGGTAGTCAGATATTCAACAATATTATCTGTCTCCTTGTATGCAGGACATAAATTGTTCCAAATTGTGGATTTTTGGAGTGATGGGAATCACTGGGGTCGGTGTGTTCTGGTGCTGCTTCTCTAGCAGGTCCAGTTGGTGTTTTCGCTCTCTTTCCTCCTGCTTCTCCTTTACCTCCAGGTCTTTCAGTTCCAATAGTCTCTGATCAGCGGTGGCAGGTTTGTAGAAATTTTGGTGATGCTCAGAACCCGCCCCCCCCCAAACTCCGTCCCCCGCAAACTGCACCCCACACTTGCCTAAGCCTCTGGGAGGGAGTTTGGGTGGGAGGAAGGAGGTCTGGGGTGCAGGCCCTGGGCTGGGGCAGGGGATTGGGGTGCAGGACAGGTGAGAGGTTGGGCTCTGGGAGGAAGTTTGGGTGGGGGAGGGGCTCTGGGATGGAGTTTGGGTGCTGGGTGCAGGCTCTGGGGGTGCAGGAGTGGGTGAGGGGTGCAGGCTCTGGGAGGGAGTGCAGAGGGCTGGGGTGCAGGCTCTGGGAGGGAGCTTGGGGATGGGAGGGTGTGCGGAGGGATGGGGTGCAGGCTCTGGAAGGGAGCTTGGGTGTAGGCTCTTGGCTTGGGCAAGGGGTGGGGGTGTAGGAGGGGGTGAGGGGGGGCAGGCTCTGGGACAGAGTTTGGGTGCTGGCTCTGGGCAGGAGTGCAGACTCTTGGAGGGATCTTGGGGATGGGAGGGGGTGCAGGCTCTTGGAGGGAGTTTGGGGACCAAAGCAGGGGTGCAGCGCTTACCTGGGGCTCCTAGGCAGAGCATGTCGGGAGTATCCATGTGCTGCTACCCCAGGCACTGCCCCCGCAGCTTCCTATTGGCTGCAGGGGCGCTTGGGGTGGGACACAGACCCATCCTGCGCAGGGGCTGCAGGGAGGGGGCGGCAGCCACATGGAGCGAGCAGGCAGGAAGCCGCCCAGCTCCGCTGCGCTGCCGGTGGTGAGTGGGGACCCTGGGCTGTTTTAAATGGCCCAGGGGACGTGCGGGGCGGGGGCACGCAGGGTGGAAGGCAGGGCCAAGGGAGAGACCTGGCCTCAGACATTGCCGGAGCCGGGCCCAGGCCAGGAATAAGACTCGCCGCTCATGTTTCTCTCTCCTTTTCTGCAACCTGTAGTCTAAAAAGCTCCAGCTTTGCAATGGCTTCATTATTTCAGTCAGGTTCCTGCTTTTCTGTCCCTACTTCCCTTTCTCGAAATAAGCAAACAGAAACTAACAAATCAGTAGCCTCCTCCTCACTGTCCTTAGCCACCACACTTAAAGCCTCACTTAAAATCTTTACACCACTGTATGAAGTACAAGTCTTGCTCATAGAATCATAGAATATCAGGGTTGGAAGGGACCTCAGGAGGTCATCTAGTCCAACCCCCTGCTCAAAGCAGTACAACAAGCTGTGTATTTCACCCTGCTTGCTGCGCCACTTTGATGGGATCCCCAGGGTGCAGCCTGTGACGGTGGGACTGCTGTGCCCCCTGAACACTCTCCCAGCCCGGGCTCTCTCTCACAGTGCCTTGCAAGTGACAAGCAGCAAGCCCCTCCAGGCACTGTGATCACTCATCATAACAGCATGTGGAGCCCCACTCCCAGCTATATTACATGAATACTCCCAGGGCCACTCATGAATCACACAGGGAAAGGCACCAGCCCAATCCTCCCAGCCTTGCACCTCAGGAAATATACCATCTTGCTCTGCTCAAGAAGAACAATGCAGATTTATTAATTGGTTCACCAATTGGTTCATCAATGGAAAGTGGATATACACCAGCCTTTGCAAAACATGAGCAGATTTGCCACACAATTCATACAAACTTACTGGCAAAGATAAACAGTGAAACAAATTTATTGACTACAAAAGATAGATTTTAAGTGATATTAAGTGATAGGCAAAAAGTCAGAGTTAGTTACCAAAAGAAAAGAAAATATAAGCACACAGTCTAAACTCTCAACCCCATTAGACTGGGCAACATCTAGATTAAGCAGTTTTTCTCACCTCACTGGATATTGCAGTCCTTAATATACAGATTTGTCCCTTAAATCTGGGCCAGTCTCCTCTGTTGGAGTCTTCAGTTTTCTTCTCAGTGTCTTTGTTGCTTGCAACATAGGTGGGGGCAGGAGAAAGGCCCAACATGGGCCTGCTATGTTCTGCTTTATACCCTCAGTCCCATGTGCTTGGGGAACACTCAAGTCCAAGCATGTCTGGTGGAATTGCTGAGCCTCCAAGGCAAGGTTGAGCAATTCCCCTGGTGTGGCCTCATGCAGGTAAGTCACTGAATTGTAGCTGCCTTGTTGGACAATGGCTGTTGATGGGTTGTTTCACACCCCGCCCGGGCGTTGGTTACTTTCCTTGGTGTTGCCTCTGGGAAGCTAATATCTGGCTGATTCCCCAATTTACAGCATGTTTTAGTGACAACCATACAACACAATTCTCATAACTTCATATGCATTAATGATATACATATATGGATAGATAAATGACTTTCAGCAAATCATACCCTTTCCCCTGAAACCTTACAAGGCATGTTTTATATGTAAGATTCTGATTATATAAAAATGAGGAATATGGGGGTTACAGGACACTCCCCCAAGGTATAGAATGTCACACTCTCCTAATTCCACAATATGTTATCATGGGGAACAGGGGAGGTTCCTTCCTGACCCCTATACTATGAAGAATGAGGATTGAGGACCCTTGTTCTTTTACATCCCTTCTTCCCACTTGCTCTCGTGCTTGCTCAGTAGGGCTACAAGACTGGTAGCTCATTGCTAAGGAGAATGATGCCTGTTGCTCTTTAGGAGTAATTCATATTCTCTTCTGTCGTGTTTGCACTTCTCTCCTTAGGTGTCCCCGAGAAAGTGGGCCTCTATTTTCTGTGTGGGGTTTCCGGGGGCCTGGTGTTCCTGCTTTGTATCTTCAGCCCCAAAATGGCCTTCATACAGGACATGAAGGAGGTCTTAAAAGACTCAAAAGTGGGGAGCAGCTTAGAGCAGAGCCGGGGCAAGTTACAGGATGACCACAATGAGGATAACCACAACGATGACAGCTCCTCAGACTCCTCGTTCCGCCACCTCAGCCGCACCTACCATGCATCCAACATCTTCAGCCCGGAGCTGACCGCAGCCCTGGAGGGTGCTGCTGAGCACAGGGCCCACGAGGGAGAGGAGATCTGGATGCTCAAAGAGTCCAGCCCCTATGCTATTCACAAACTCAAATCTGCTACCAAATGAGAACAAGGAGCAGGGGCCACCCGTCAGAGCAATGAGCCAGCACTGGCTCCACATCAGCAAGCAGCAATTCCTGGAGTGGGGGCGGGGTGGGAAGGGAGACAATTTTCATCTCTGGGGACCCAACTCATAACAGGCTTAGGTCATGTGCAACGAGTATGTTGATAACAGTCTGATCCCTGACAGAGATTTGTCATGACTCAAACAAAGCTAGGCAAACTAGTATACATTCTGTGAACGCCATGTAATAACTTTCCTGCTATAGAAACCATACATTCCATAATCAGTATTTATATCACACACAACAGAAGCATATTTGTTACGATTGGCAGTCTCTGCTCAAGAGGCGAGCTGGTTGGAGAAATGTAGACATAACCATATTCACCAGAATATACAGTTCTGTTGAAAGCAAAACGTTTCACAAAATGGGGTTGAATTCTGCCTGAACTTTGTTTAGGAAGAAATACATGGGGGAAAATGGATTCCAACAATGTTGAAATGACCTGTACCAACATTTTCAGAATGAAACTTTTTTGATTTTTTTTGTTTTGAAACAACTTTTAGTTTCAATTTTTTTGCATTTTGTAGTAAATACAAAATTTTTATAATACAAAATGAAAAAAGTAAAAATTGAAACAATATGTTGCGCATGTCCCCAAAAGAAATATTTTTTGGAATGTTCCTTTGCAGAAAACATTGAGATCTTCAGTTTAGGAAAAACAAAAATTGTGAAATCTCAAAATCCTTCTGTCCTCCCTGAGATCCTGGTTTAAAATAGCAGGGAGTGCTGCAGGGCAGGATTGAATGGGATTGTCTGTCATTTCAACTGGAAGTTCTGACTGGGAGTTACCCTGGTTTGGTTACCAAGAAGAATCCAGAAGTGGAAACCTTGCATTGTCATTAGAGTTGGGTGTTTGTCAGTGAACTATCTCAATAATATCAAGCAAGAAATCAGACTGGTACATTATGTGGTGTTTTGTCTGATTTCTTGGTGACATGTGACTAATTTTTAGCCAATTAATGATGCAGTTCATACTGAATGCTCTGCTTACTCATGGTTGTGTTGCAGTCAATTGCTAACACTCAGTTACTGTTAATTTCTTGGCTATAGGCCTATTTATAAGGCCCCTTTATCCTCCTTTTCACTCATTCCTAACTGTCTTCTGTTTTTTATTCCAGTTATGTCATTTTACATTACAATTCATGGTCAATGTTCCTTAATGATATGTGATAACATTGTGTGGATAGAGAGCCAAGGAGATCAGAGTCTGTTTTTTGGCGTGTATGGGAAAATCAGTAAAGATGCATATTCTAAGTAAAAATGAGAGAGAGAAAGGGAGGAATGAGTAAGACAGACAGTGCTGTGTGAGGCACTGGACTAGAACAGAGGTGGGTACAAGAGGTCAGAGCTGTGCAAGATCCAGTGCTTGAATTAGCAATGCTACAGACAAGGTTGAGTGTACTAGGAACAAACAGGGGTCAGTACCACCATGTTGCGTGACGGACACTTGACAAAATTACCTGACTTAGTGACTGACATTGGTGGAGGGTTATGTCATTAAGTCATTCAATCTGTAAAATAGCGCACACAATTTTCCACACTGAAAAAAAACAGTAACCTAGTATGGGAATGGGTTTTGAAGCAGCCGTGTAACATTACTGGCCTTTGCTCTAATCTTCAGGGAGTTGATTCAGAGCCGCCTGCAAGGCCTGGGAGTGGAAACCAGGCAGTGCAATGGGTAGGACCATCCCTAGCTATTCTGGGGCCCTATGCAGCCCACTCCCCCTCCCCCCCGCGGTGTATGTATGTGTGGCCCCAGGCATCTGTGAGGGGACTGGGCTGGCTTGAGGAGCTGGAGGGAACCACCCCCCAGCACTCACTGGCGGCGAGGCTGGGGCCAGGACGCTGAACTTCCCGCCACCGGTGAGTGCAGGCCCACCCCTGCTGTACTCCTCAGGGGTGTGGGGGTAGGGCTGGGGTGGGAAGAGGCGGAGCTAGGGCAGAGCAGGGGCGGGGGCCATTGGGAAGAGGTGGGGCAGGGGCTGGAGCAGCACGCAGCTGCGCAGGGCACCAGGAAATTTAGTGCCCCACATTTCCTGGTGCCCTACGTAGCTGCATACTTTGCGTATGGGTACAGATGGCCTTGGCAATGGGGTCTCCCCTTGGTTTGGGGGATGAACCCCTCGTGAGCTCATAAAGGGACAGTGCCCCGAGTTGATTGCCTTGATTCACAGCAATTCACATGCAGATAAACCCGAGCAGCCCAGTTCTCATTTCAAAGTGCCTCTTCAAAGGTGCGCCAGCTCCTTGCTACTCCCTGGGGAAGTGGAGATTGACACAGTCTCAACACCTCTGAGAACTGCATGAAATATTTGGCTGGTGCTATTTAAATGCGGAGGGGGATTTTAACGCAAACAGGGCCTGGCCAGGCGTAAGGAAAGACCCCTCTGCGAGATCAGCTCCGTGCACTGCCATGAGATCCCAGGCCAGCCCGCAGGAGAGCGGCCCCCAAGGGGGAGCATTGGGGAAGGCTGGATCTTGGCACAGCCAAGAGGCCCTCTCCCCTCTCCATGTTCCCAACTCTCTGATCTACCAGGAAAGGGCAGGGCTCTGCAGGGCGGTGCTAGGCGCGGGCACTGCTGCTGCACCTCATTCTCGCTGACTCTGGGTAGCTATGGGGTATGCGCCTAGGAGCCCTGTGGCAATTTAAAAGGGCCTGGGGGCTCACAGCCACTGCCACTACCGCCAATAGGCTGGGAGCTGCAGAGTCAGCGCTCAGGGACGGGGGACAGAGGCAGCCTGCAGAGCCACCTGGCCATGCCTCCGCCAGCAACAGCAGGGACGGAGAGCCACTTGTGGGGAGCCTCCCAAGGTGAGCACTCCCATGGACCTCAACATTTTTACCATGGACACTTGTGTCCGTGTACGGACACGTTGCTGACCCCTAAAAATAAACTGGCAGATGAAGTTTTGCCTTCTTCTGTCCCCAGCTTCTGTTTTCTGTCCCTCAATTTCTGGAAGACCAGCTATTGCCCAAAAGAAAAATCACACCCAGAAACACCAATAATGTGCTATGCACTTGTAACGTATCAAACAACGTTGATACGCTTACTTTCCATAGCTCGAGGTAAATGAATTATCCCTTCATGGTGCTTGCATAACTGCTCCAAAGGTAAGGAGTCACTCAACTCTCATTGAAAGCTTTGTGAAATTCCCAGAGAATTTAAAGGGCGGGTCTGATGGTTGGTCACCTGAGGGCAGGGCATAGAGTTCAAGGTGATGACCAGAGTGACTAGAACAGGCATTCTGGGACACTTCTGGAGGCCGATCAGAGTGTATTAATAGACCAGGGCGTCCACTCTGGTGCCACGGCACTCCAGCCAGGGTTCAGCAAGCGTTATGCCTCACTTCAAGGTGGATTACCAGGAGCACTCCAGCCGCAGAGTCTGGGCACTCAACGTGCCTTGCCAATGTGAACGCGTCGTGAGTTAGGGCACCCGGGGCTACTTTAACATGCTCTAACTCGCAAGTGTAGCCAAGCCCTAATTCTCCCCTCACACTGGGGTAGCTATATTAACTTTACTGGAGTTACGCTTGGTTTACACTGAAATAAGTGAGAGGATAATGAGGTGCTCAGATTTTAATTTCTCTCGTGTCAGGTGATTCGGAATAATGGGACAGACCATAAATTGGTGCAAATGAGCATAGCTCCATTGATTGCACTCACTAGGGCTGTGCCGTGTAGATCAGCTGAAAATCTGGTCCAATGAGTCCCCCCTGGACCTATGCATTACAATAGGGCCTTTTGTTTAAAAAATGACACAACACTCAGCAATGTGACAAACCATTTGCTAATTACAGTGACACAAAGGAGCTGTTCCTTTTTACATAGCTGTTACCTTTTGTGTTATCTCCACAGGGTTCTGCAAATCGATGGAGACGCAGGTTTGTCCAGGGGATGAGGGGGTGACAAACACCCTAAATCCCATGGTTGTACATATTTTCACTTCGGTGCTTTTCATTGTTGCCAAAACCAAAACTTCCATTGATTACAATGGGAACATGATGAGGTTTCTAATAATGCTATAATAATAATAATTAATAATAATACTGTGAATTCAGGTTTCAGAGTAGCAGCCGTGTTAGTCTGTATTTGCAAAAAGAAAAGGAGTACTTTTCGCACCTGTCAAGGTTCCTCCCCCACTCTGAACTCTAGGGTACAGATGTGGGGACCTGCATGAAAAACCTCCTAAGCTTATCTTTACCAGCTTAGGTCAAAACTTCCCCAAGGTACAAAATATTACACCCGTTGTCCTTGGACTGGCCGCTACCACCACCAAACTAATACTGGTTACTGGGGAAGAGCTGTTTGGATGCGTCCTTCCCCCCAAAATACTTCCCAAAACCTTGCACCCCACTTCCTGGACAAGGTTTGGTAAAAAGCCTCACCAATTTGCCTAGGTGACTACAGACCCAGACCCTTGGATCTTAAGAACAATGAACAATCCTCCCAACACTTGCACCCCCCCTTTCCTGGGAAATGTTGGATAAAAAGCCTCACCAATTTGCATAGGTGACCACAGACCCAAACCCTTGGATCTGAGAACAATGAAAAAGCATTCAGTTTTTTACAAGAAGACTTTTAATAAAAAATAGAAGTAAATAGAAATAAAGAAATCCCCCCTGTAAAATCAGGATGGTAGATATCTTACAGGGTAATTAGATTCAAAAACATAGAGAACCCCTCTAGGCAAAACCTTAAGTTACAAAAAAGATACACAGACAGAAATAGTTATTCTATTCAGCACAATACTTTTCTCAGCCATTTAAAGAAATCATAATTTAACACATACCTAGCTAGATTACTTACTAAAAGTTCTAAGACTCCATTCCTGGTCTATCCCCGGCCAAGACCCAGCATACAGACAGGCACAGACCCTTTGTTTCTCTCCCTCCTCCCAGCTTTTGAAAGTATCTTGTCTCCTCATTGGTCATTTTGGTCAGGTGCCAGCGAGGTTACCTTTAGCTTCTTAACCCTTTACAGGTGAGAGGAGCTTTCCCCTGGCCAGGAGTGATTTCAAAGGGGTTTACCCTTCCCTTTATATTTATGACAGCACCTTAGAGACCAACAAATTTATTTGAACATAAGCTTTCGTGAGCTACAGCTCACTTCATCGGATGTATTCAGTGGAAAATACAGTGGGGAGATTTATATACATAGAGAACATGAAACAATGGGTGTTACCATACACACTGTAACCAGAGTGATCACTTAAGGTGAGCTATTACCAGCAGAAGAGCAGGGGTGGGGGAGGGTAAGAAAACCTTTTGTAGTGATAATCAAGGTGGGCCATATCCAGCAGTTGACAAGAACGTCTGAGGAACAGTGGGGGTGGGGAGTCGGGAAATAAACATGGGGAAATAGTTTTACTTTGTATAATGACCCATCCACTCCCAGTCTCTATTCAAGCCTAAGTTAATTGTATCCAGTTTGCAAATTAATTCCAATTCAGCAGTCTCTCCTTGGAGTCTGTTTTTGAAGGTTTTTTTTGTTGAAGAATTTCAACTTTTAGGTCTGTAATCGAGTGACCAGAGAGATTGAAGTGTTCTCCGACTGGTTTTTGAACATTATAATTCTTGACGTCTGATTTGTGTCCATTGATTCTTTTATGTAGAGACTGTCCAGTTTGGCCAATGTATATGGCAGAGGGGCATTGCTGGCACTTGATGGCATATATCACATTGGTAGATGTGCAGGTGAACGAGCCTCTGATAGTGTGGCTGATGTGATTAGGCCCTATGATGGTGTCCCCTGAATAGATATGTGGACACAGTTGGCAACGGGCTTTGTTGCAAGGATAGGTTCCTCTGTTAGTGGTTCTGTTGTGTGGTGTGTGGTTGCTGGAGAGTATTTGCTTCAGGTTGGGGGGCTGTCGTAAGCAAGGACTGGCCTGTCTCCCAAGATCTTTGAGAGTGATGGGTCATCCTTCAGGATAGGTTGTAGATCCTTGATGATGCGTTGGAGAGCTTTTAGTTGGGGGCTGAAGGTGACGGCTAGTGGCATTCTGTTATTTTCTTTGTTGGGCCTGTCCTGTAGTAGGTGACTTCTGGGAACTCTTCTGGCTCTGTCAATCTGTTTCTTCACTTCAGCAGGTGGGTACTGTAGTTGTAAGAACGCTTAATAGAGATCTTGTAGGTGTTTGTCTCTGTCTGAGGGGTTGGAGCAAATGCGGTTGTATCGTAGAGCTTGGCTGT